ATATTTTAAGTCCTAGAGATTCCCTAGCTGACATATATATATATGATGTTTTAATGAAAATGAACACCAAATAAATGTACTTAACAAAATTATCTAAAAAATGTTCCGTTCAGCATAATGAGGAAGCACTGATTAGTTGATACATTCCTTTCTTGTTTCTAATGGTATATACTTTCGAATAACTTTAAAAATGTTCATATCTAGGCACAGAAACAACCACTGGATATGTATTCATTCATCTGGATTACATCAGTGAAAATACACATACGTATATATATACAATATGAACATATGATTGTTTCAATCTACCTATTGTAAGCCTGTGTTTCACATTCTCTCCTATTTCGTACTGATCTCACTTGTTTAATAAAATCAACAACAACAAAAAAAGAGAAGAAAAGAAAAGAAAGAAACGAAGATAAATGTATCACAAGGTCATTGCGCTAGTGACTTTTCAATTTTAATCGTTATCCTTTTCTACTGATGCATTATAATTTCATTTGGATAGACCAAGTGAGTGAGTGAATAAGTGCCTGTGTGTGTGTGTGTGTGCGTGTATGTGTTCCTGTATCAAAAAGCTCTTAACAGTTAAAATAAACAAAAGAGTAAAAGATTTTGAAGTTATAATTTTGATTGAAAAGAAATTATTCACATGTTAGAATAATCAATATAAGGCAGTAGATTAAATGGAAATAGAATAGGAATATAAAGATTAAAACGAATTGTTGTATTTCCTGTTAAAATATTAGTTTCAATAGGGTTGTGGAGATTATTAAGTTTCTGATTGAGATCGTGAACCAATTGATGTTAGACTACCATTGAAAACCTGAAAGAACTGGATGACCGTTTCGTCTTGTTTTGAGACTCCTCAATGGTGTGCATCCATGATCTCATGTGTGAGATTGAAGGCCCTGGGTTCGAGTCTCGAGATTAGGATCGTGAATGTGTACTGTTGAAGAGTTCCACAACAGGACGAAACGGTCGTCCAGTGTTTTCAGATTTTCAATGATGGTCTAACATCAGTCGGTTCATGATCTTAATCAAAAAATTTATTCCATAGAATACCGATTTGACTATTTTCACTGAATAAGTGAACACACATGATGTAGATCCTTGTTGAAGTCCATAAATATAAATGAGTAACTTTACTTTGTACTCTGTGTATATCAGATAAGACTATGTTGAACTTTCAAATACTTCAATTTTTCATCTACCGAATCTTATAAAAGATAGTTCTCAAGGAAGAGATAGTAGACTGGTATCGTTCAGAATATTGACTGATTTTAGTTAGATGAGCATTAAAAGCTGAAAATCATCAGATAACTGTCTCTTTTACGGAAGATTAAAGACTCAAGGGAAAGGCCCAACCTAGGAGCTTCAGATTTCATAAATGATGCTTAATCTTTAATACTAATTAGCATTAGTTAATCATGTTAATCACTTCATACAATCAGAGTACGATACAATCCATATTGGTATAATAATGTAAAGGATTTCTTATGCTCAACCTAGTAACCTTTTGCAGCGAGCTATTTTAGTAAAAGTCCTTTTATATAGTTCTCTTGATCAATCTTCAATCCAATAATCTTTAGGGAAATTGTCAGCTTGAAAATCACAGAATATGTATATAATATTCATCATTATTAATCCATACTATCAAAGAAAAGTGCATATTTTGAGTATTTTATGGTTAGAACAATTGTGTACATATTTGAAAGATTTCAATTGAAATGATGTAGAAGATTTGTAGCTCAGATGGATGATTTAGATAGAGTTTTGTTCTATAATATGAATGGTTTAGTGATGAAGCTTTCATTATTCTTCTGAACGATATCATCAGCGTAAACTTCAGGTAGAAGTTCGAACAATTCTTTTCTACGCTAAAGTTTATGTTAATGATGTCGTTTAGAAAAATGATAAAAGCTCTACGACTAAACCATCTAGCTTAGAGAAAAAAAACTTCAAAAGTCTTATACTTTAGCTTAAAAAATCTATGAGCTACACACAAAAAAATTATATTCTGTAAATATTCAGTAAAATGTAGGAAAAAAATCACAGATTAGATTCAAAATTGTGGCATTTTATACATTAAAGGATCATCATAATATTGAATTAATGAATTCAATTTAGAAATGATATATACAGATCATCGATGAACAAGGAGGTTCAGATGTAGACGTAAAGGCGAGGATTGGCAAAGCAAGGGCCTCATTCCTTCGATTGAAGAACATATGAAACTCAAAACAACTTTTAACCAATATGAAAGTCAGAATCTTCAATACCAACGTCAAGACAGTCAGTTCTACAGTACGGAGATGAAATTTGGAGAACTACAACAACCATCATCAAGAAGGTACAAGTATTTATAAATTGTTGTCTACACAACATACTCAACATCCACTGGCCGGATACCATCAGTAACAGCCTACTGTGGGAGAGAACAAACTAGCTTCTAGCTGAAGAAGAAATAAGGAAAAGATGATGGAAATGGATAGGACATACATTACGCAAATCATCAAACTAGATCACGAGGCAAGCCCTGACTTGAAATCCTGAAGGGAAGCGGAGACGATGAATGTCAAAGAACACATTACGTCGGGAAATAGAATCAAATATGAAAAGGATGAATGACAACTGGAAGGAGTTAGAAAGGATTGCCCATGACAGGGTTGGATGGAGAATGCTGGTAAGCGGCCTATTCTCCTTGACGTAGAGTAACGAGCATAAGTAAAGTAAGTAAATATACAGATCAAATTGAAGAGTACAATTTCAAACATGAACGTAAACTAAGTATTTAGTTCATTCTCTAATTAAGGAGAAAAGGTTTTCTTATAATATTGAATTGAATAAGTAAATTTAATTTCAATGTATATTCAAAGTTTCTTTAAGTCTTGTATATTTAGCTTAACTTTATATATTAAGATGTTTATTATTGTTAATCTGTTTAAAAGTAGAATAGTTTTAATAATTTAGTAAATAGTAACTATCTAATTTGGAGAATAATCATATAACATAATCGTAACCTGTAAATTAAATTGTTTCAGAAGAAAGTTCGTGAACCAGTGATAAAATTAAGTGAAAGTAGAATTTTATCACAGATTAAATAAAGTTGATAACTATGTAGTTCTAACTAAGTAGTTGCCAGTTCTGATATTATCCAAGAAACCGAAAGTATGTACTTCCATACTCCATGTATATATATATATATACAGAGAGAGAGAGAGAGGGAGAGGTGGATAGATAGATAGATATGCTAATGGGTTAAGATTGATAGTCAGCTTTGGTAAATAATTGAAATATAATTAAATAGTCTGGTTCATAATTGTTTCTCCCTCTTCTACTCCTATTTTCACTGTATAAACTACTTGTAATTGTGTCAATGATATTACATTGTGCTCAATGTTCTCTTTTTTAACTGATGATAAGGGATTAATTAACTGTGGTGTCGTGATTTAGTTTGCTCAGTTTGTTACCCAGTCTAATGTTTGCTGCAATATCGTCTTATCAGTTATTTCGTACGAAATATCGAATTCCTTATTTATCTCGCACCACGATATATATATATATATATATTTTCAGTTTAAATCACGACCTGAACTTAGATGGACGCTAACACCGTCCACTCTCAAGACTAGTGGTCCTGAGTTTGATTCTAGTACGTTGGGTCTTGGAAGCATATCACTGAAGAGCCTAGTACTAGAACGAAATAATCACTTAGTGCTGGTAGGTTTCAACTGATCTAGCTAAGATCAGTTTAGCATTTGAATTGAAAATTCTACAATTTTCACAAGTAGTCTTTACTAGCTTCAATTGACTCAGTTGATCTCAACCATTGAAATTACTATAATATGCATAAAATCTCTTCGGATATTAATCGACATATGCTCACTAATGACTGACTTCAAGCGGTATTTGCTGGAGTTCTAGTGAGAAGCAGTTACCAGTGGAGTTCAACCGGATCTATTGTGAGATAGTAACTCACTGAAAGCAATGACGGATGTGTTGCACAGTTTGGTGGATTAGTTGAAGTTAGACATTAACACCATTGAATGCCAACCAATTCAATTGTTTAGAATTTAAGCGTTCGCACGCGAGACCGATAGATCCTGGGTTCGAATCTCGCGAGGTGAGGTTGTGGATGCGCACTGCTGAGGATTCCCACAATAAGACGAAACGGTAGTACAGTGCTTCCAGGTTTTCCATGTTGCTCTGGCTTCAGTTGACTCATGATCTCAACCACTGAAATTAATATATATGAATCGTATGACTATACACTACGTGGATTCATGCTACCCAAAGCAAGGAACTATAAAGATTTAGGAGTCATATTAGGCAATGATCTCAAAACCACTAGTCACTGTAAGGCTGCTGCTGCAAAGGGTTATAGGGTATTATGGTTAATTCGTAGGTCTTTCCAGTATTTAGATGATGAACTGTTTCGATTACTGTACCCGATTTATGTGCGACCACATTTAGAATACGGCATTCAATCAGCGTGTCTATGTTTCAAATATGAAGCAGATATGCTAGAAAGAGTCCAACGACCAGCTACTAAGATGGTACAAGGTCTATCTGGCCTATCCTATGAAGACAAACTGACACACCTTAACTTATTTCCGTTATCTTACCGTAGAATACGGGGTGATCTAATATTGGCCTATTGTATACTGAACGATGACCTTGGTATTAACGTGTCTTATCTTTTGCTTCCGTCTAGAACCGATCATTTGAGAGGACATTCGAAGAAAGTTCAAAAACCGTTAACGTCTGGAGTCCCGTTTCTCGCACCGAGTAGTGAATTTTCTACCGGAACACGTTATATCAGCACCGTCTGTTAATATATTCAAAACGAGATTGGACCTCGACAGTATTACAAACTGCAAGGATTAATATAGGTCGACAGACCTCCTATCCTTATTACTGAAGACTGAAGACTAACTCTAACTTGGGTAATTCGATATATTATATTTGATTAGAAATATATTCTAAATGGAAAAATGAGAAAATGTATTTTCATATTTATGCATATTTATTTATACATAGATTATTTTCATAAGAAATAAAATAACCTTAAATTTCATGAATGGATCCAGCTGTCATCCTCCTCCTGCTCCTCCTCTTCCTCCTCCTTGTTCTCATTCTCATCGTCGTCATCATCATCATCATCATCATCACCAACAACACTATCTTAATAATGAAGCCTATGGTTTAAAAAAAAATTGGGAAAAATAAATGCAAAACCAAAGCGATAATAATAATAACTGTTGTAACAATAACAATAAAATAAACATGAACCCATACTTACACCCACAAAAAAAAGAATAATCCAATCTATGTAATATGTATATAGATAGATAGATAGATAGATGTGAATGCAATAGAATAATCACTAAGATAAATAAATAAACAAAAGATCTGTATACAAGATGTAAAGACATAGACTGTGTATGTGTGTGTGTATTTGTGCTTTTGTTCAATGTCAATTCATTGATTTCAGTAAAAGATCATAATCATTTGGTATCCGGAAAAGAAAAGAAAATATATATATGATCATACTCAATTCAATGATTATATAATAGAGAAGAATAAGAATTAGGATGGCTATTCATAGCCTAAATAGGTAAATAAATAAATAAACATAAATATATATGTATCTATCTGTATAGAATGGATAAGTTTTGTTGGGGGGTGGTTTTCTTCTTTTGTAATCACAACCAAAATATTGTTTATCTGTTTGTTTGTTTTGTAAAATGCTTCTTTTGATTATTTCACAAATTATTTATCAATTTATAGTAGAAATTAAAAAAAATGATTAGAATAAAACATTTTGAACATTTTTTTAAAAAGTAATCTCATCTACTTATATGATTTGGAAATCAGTAGTATGAAGATGAAATATTAAAAAATAAACATAATCCCCCCCACCCTTAATAAATTAGTATCTAAGCCAATAGAAAACAACAACAATAAAAACAAAAGAAGAAGAAGAAGAAGAAGAAGATGCATTAATTCTGATGACAGGAACTACTATTTTTGTGTTGTTCGTTTGTTTTTGCCTTTTTTTTCACTGTTTAACACCATGTCATCAATTTATCACTTTATGATTACGAAACACATTGAAATTAGATTACATAATAATAGATGATATTAGATTACAAAATAAAACGATTAATAATAATAATAACAAAAAGTAGAAGACGACGAAGAAGAAGAAGAAGAAGAAGAGAACAGAGGAGGAATAAAAAGGAATACAAAAAAAAAAAATAGAAAAAGTAGTTTCCAATTAACAACATGTAACTGTGTAATAATTAAAAAAAAGATTTAATCAAGGCGCTCAATATTCAATCATATTAAAGTTATATGTAAAAAGAAAAGAAAACCTATTCGATTAGAAACCATTTGTTCCTTTGAAAGATGAAGATTATTATTATTATTATTATTATTATTATTATTATTATTATTATTATTATTATTGCCTTACTTATTACACTATTGAAATCAGATTCAATTTAATTTAAAGGCATTATGTTTATGAAAGTTCAAAACTCCGCCTCACATCCACACATCCCATCACACACAGACAAAAACAAACCAAATATCATTTCTTATTTCATTATATCTATTCAATATTAAATATTATTATAAATATAAAATTCTATGTAATCCCTATGACAATGTAGAAGATAGAAATGTATATATTTTATCAATCATCAAATATGAGTAGTAGAGTATATAGTTCATTTCAATATTTCAATGATGTAATAATGATAATAATAATAATAATAATAATAATCATATCAATAATAAGAATTACGTAATAGGATTACATGTTTTAAATGGGTTCTCTTCTATGTTCTCTAAGCAAAAAATAAAAATAAAAATAAAATATTTAATTTTCAATATACATATTTTCTTCTTTTTTTGGTTTTTCTCATTGTTGTTCTTATTGTTGCTAAGTGAATATCGATTTGTTTTATTCAATTCTATTTATCTATTTTGTTTTTTTGCTTTCAGATATTTAATCATAATTAAATTACATGAAATAAATAGAGAAAAAATAAGAAGAAAGAAGTTTTTTGAAGAGAAAAAGAAAAAGAAGAAAAGGAGAAAAAGAAGAAGAACAATGAAAACTTGTGATTGATATAATTGTAATGAATCCATAATAATAAATTAATGTATATGTATATAGATATATTTCAATGTATTTATAAATGATTAATGCTTGTAATGAAATACTATGGTTACATATTACATAATGACATTGATTCATTATTGATAACCTATCATGAATTGAATAAATATAATGGAAATAAAAGTGATATCTAATATAGTCATGATCTAAATATAATATACTTTAAATAGATTGAAATCATAATGAATATCATTGAATTATTACAGGTCATTATGCTTTTTTCTTGTTGTTGATAAAACGATAGAAGAATTGTAAGCATTAAGCATTAGATTCTTTCATTTCAGCAAAATAAGCAACTAAACGATCATGAGATAAACATAATAATTCTTGTTCCCAACTTAAATCTGATTGTGAATTCATGAATGGATATTTATTCATATTTTTATGATGAGATTTTATGGAATGGTATTGTTGTTGTTGTTGTTGTTGTTGTAATGGTATTACTGCTGTTGATGATACTGAAGAAGATGCCGATGATGATGATTTTTCATGATCATTTATTACAAAGGTATTTGGTTTTAAATCATTATGCTCTATAGATTCACCTAAATAAAACGTAAAAAAATTTAATGTTATAAAGTAAATGATGTATGGGCGAGAATGGTTGTTTGCTTAGTCAAACATGTAGATGAATTATATATTCCCCTATCCGTATTGCTACATTGTTATTGATTGTTCATTGTTGCCGGATTGTGTCGAGTTTTTGGTTTAGAAATATAATTACATTCTAATCAAGCTAATCACGTGTTCTTGATTTGAGTTGTGTTGAAGTCGTGTTAAATAGACACTGAGAGGGAATCTAGTGTAGATATTCATCTAAGGCAAATTAACTTCCCATACGTGTAAATGTGGAAACACAACCGTTAAAACATTAGACGAAGTAAAACCGAGCGTTGAAACGGTAAACTAAACAGGTTTTATAGAAACGTTTGTCCAAGATTGAATGAATAGTCTTATAATTGATTAAAGTCAGAAAATGATTCAGTGTAAATCATTGAAGAAGTGACTTATCCTGAGTCATGAAACGTCAGAAAATCTAATTTCTCTACTGATTAGGATATCTACAATTATATTTATTTATTTATAACAATTTATAAGAAATTATTAAGTTAAACCATGGTAATGATACCTACGTCAGGTAAAGGTTAAGCAATGACGTGTAAAACTGAAAATCCAAGAATAATCTGCGGTGATAAGTTCGTAGATGTGAGACATTAGAAAGTTCTATACTAAGACAAAACACTTGTTCAATAATTCTTGGTTTTTAATGGTTCATGATATTAACATTGAAGTTTCACTATAGTTCTTTGTATAGTGTATTAGAGATATTAAAAACAAACAAACAATTAATCAATTATATTTGTACAAATGATAATAAATGAGGTATTGAAGCAATGCAAAGGTATTGGTCGATAGTGTAATGAGAATACAAAAAAAGAAAAGAAAAAAAAGATAAATAAACGTTTGTGTTGTTTTTTTCCAAATAGATTGATGGATCAAGGTATTACTGAACATGATAATCAAATAAAACAAACGAATGTACTTTGTTATTGTATGCAAAATATAAGATAAATAGAAGAAATTTGATTTCATTTTATACTTACCTAATAATGAATATTTATTATACTGTAGTTAATTATAATAAAACATTTGAGTAATTTGTAATTGTAGTCAATGAAAATATTGTGAATCTAATTAGCTTGTCTAAAAATGAAATATCTATGATCACTATATAGATTAGATGGTAGTTGCAGGTAGTCAACAGGAAACCCTGGATCCGGGCACTCATCAGCAAGGTGTACTTGTAATCTTGAGTGAACTTGTGCTCCCTGACGGATTCGATCCCGTGTCACCCAACTTCACAGTCAGAGATGTTATCACTAAGCTATCCAGGCCGCGACCGACCTCCTATAGGACTGAGATGTAATCACAATTGATTGATCACTGGGTGGTGGTCAATGTCATCTATGTCAGATCTTTCTTAATGCAGATCGGATCTTATCGATCAAGTTGTAGTGTAACCATCAGTCTAGGTGATTTGATCTACACTAAGAAGGATCTGACATACATGACACTGACCACCACCCAGTGATCAATCAATTGTAAGTATGTCCCAGTCCTACAGGAGGCTAGTTGTGAACCGGATAGCGCAGTGGTAACGTCTCTGATTGTGAAGCTGGGTGACACGGGATCGAATCCGTCAGGGAGCACAAGTTCACTCAAGATTACAAGTACACCTTGCTGACGAGTGCCAAGTAGCACGAAATCCGGATCCAGGGTTTCCTGTTGACTACCTCTAACCACCATCTAATCCCAACATATTGCACGCAGTGTTGAGCCATCTAGACTGGTGGCCACATTGCAACTTCGTCAATAGCATTCGATCTGCACTAGGAAGGACTTGACATACATGACATTGATCACCCACCACCCAGCGGTCAATCAATTGTGATGATCACTGTACAGTTTATTCTTAAATAACCTGAGTCGTTTATTGAATATAGATGCATACACACTGATACTTGAATTCTATTGTTTGTTACAAGAGGTTATGACATTACCTTTCAACTGCCTAAATTAGAGTAAGTACAATGAAGTACTAAAAGCACTGATTGCATAATAAGTATTTGTCGGTCAGTAATAAGTAAAATTTAAAATAGAGATTTTCTTCTGAATGAATTTTGATATTATTGTGATTATAATTACTTATAAAGTATATTACCTTCATTAAACCTACATTGTGTACAATTAAATTATTGTATGGAGATGAAACATGGAGAACTACTACAACCATCATCAAAAAGGTACTATTATTTATAAATAGTTGTCTACGCAAGACACTCAATGTCTGTTAGTCGGACACAATCAGCAACAGCCTACTGTGGGAGAGAACAAACCAGCTTCCATCTGAATAGGAAATTAAAAAAAGACGATGGAAATGGATGGGACATACATTACAGAAATAACCAAACTGTATCACGAGGCAAACTCTAACTTGGAATTCCGAAGGGAAACGGAAAAGAGTGAGGTCCGGAATTGGAAGCACATATCAAAATGATGAATAACAACTGAAAAGAACTGGAAAGAATTGTCTAGGACACAGTTTAATGAAGAATGTTGGTCAGTGACGTATGCTCCTCCTCGAGAGGCAACAGATATAAATAAGTAAGTAATGTATAATTCAGTAGTATCGTTTATACATTGCACCCTTAAATCATTCAAGTTAATCTGTTCATTTTGTATATTTGGTATAATTTTATCATTATTTCATTTGAATAGAAACTTACTATTCTTTCTTAGTTTAATTAAATGATACAATATAATTACAATAATTATTAGCGTTTAAAATAGAATATTGATAATGAAACTTTATCTATGTAAATATAATGTTGGTAACTGATTGCATATTGATGGGATAATAGATACTTTTCAAACGTTTTAACGATAATGATGTTTAGAATTACATATTTGTCACCATAGTTTTAAACCATTTCTTACATTATGTAACTTATTCATTAGCAAATTGATAGATAATTATAGATTCAACTATTAAAAGGGCGGCCTGCTTGAGCATTTGGGCTATCTGTTCCTGCCATCTAGATATTTCATCAAGTTATCTATTTTTATCTGTTTTAATACATCGCATAAGCTATCCTGGTGTACAACCTTTCGTTGTCAAAATTACAAAAAGCTCAATAAGAGACAATGCAGTTGCTGGCAATATGCAGAGAAAAGAATATACATCATTCAGATGTTTATTTACTGAACTGCTAACATCTAACTGGCGATCACTCAATATTTATCGTCAGGACTGACCAAGAAGAAAGAAACGGAAATACTTTGTGCTGACAATTCTATATTGTACCGAAAATATAATATTGAATAAAGCTGATAATAACAATAATAATAATATATACCATATCAGTCAGTCATTTAGTTACAACGTAGGACCAGGCACATATATGCATCGGTTCAAGTTGCGAGACCTCATTAGCACGAAAAGATGAACACCGGATTATATACCATATACACAGGTATGTAACAAAAATGTTATATTTACTATCAATATCATAACATAGAAGAATAAATAAATAAATAGTGTATTAATTGCAAATCTATAATTACTGATGGATGTGTCACTCAAGTTCATGGATTAATTGAAGTTAGACATTAACATCGATGGATGTCGGCTGGCTCAGTGGTCTAAAGGTTAAGCATTCGCTCACGAGACTGATAGATACTGGATTTAGATCTCTCCCGACGGGATGATGAATGCTCACTACTGAGGAGTTCAACAATAGGACAAAACGGCCTTCCAGTACTTTCAAGTTTTCCATGGTAGTCTAGCTATTAAAATCACTATAATATCTACAAAACCCTTTCTGATATTAATTACTGAATACCCAATGTGATTCAATAGCCATTCAACCCAAAATATAATACTCCTTAAGAATGTACCTCAGATTATGTAAGAAAACTAAATAGCTTAAAAGTAACAAGATTAACAAAAAGACAAATAGCTTTATTAATGATATACCTATGGTATAATAATAAGTAGGTTGAATCAACAACGTTTTTTTAAAGAATTTTTTAATTATCAATAATTTCTCATCTTCAATTTGTCCGTGATAAAGTGATGTTCAAATGAAATAAAAAAAGAAGTAAATAAACTTCAAAAATGAAAGAAAATATCTAGTTAAATTGTTCAAAATCGAAAGAGGATTTTTGTGAATACCATAGTAATTTTGATATAGTTACAATCATGAGTCAATGGAAGCTAGACTACCATGGAAAACTTGGAAGCACTGGACGTCCGTTTCGTCCTATTGTGGGGCTCCTCAGTAGTGAACATTCATGATCTCGACATGAGAGGTCTAAATCCAGGACCTATCAGTCTCGTGAGCGAATGCTTAACCTCTAGACTACTGAGCCAGACGGCATCCAACGATATTAATGTGTAACTTCAACCGATCCACGAAATTGATTGACATATACACCACTGTCTTCAGTGAGCTACTATCTCACAACAGATCCGATTGAACACTATTGATCACTGCTTCTCACTAAAACTCCAGGAAATACCTCTTGAAGCCAGTCACTAGTGAGCATATATTGATTAATATCAGAAAAGGTTTTGTGGATATTATGATGATTTTAATAGTTAACATCATGAGTCAATGGAAGCTAGACTACCATGGAAAACTTGGAATCATTGGACGTCCGTTTCGTCCTATTGTTGAACTCTTCAGCAGTGTGCATCCACAATCGCACATTAGGATGAAACTGTCGTTCAGTGTTTCCAAGGTTTTTCATGATGATCTAGCTTCAATTGATTCATTAATCTGAACTATTGAAATTACTACAATCTCCACAAAACCCCTTCTGATATATATAATTAAAGGTAGTTGTAACTATGATGAATTACTTTTAAAAAATGTTTTTTTTTCTTTAATTATGTCACTTCTAATATTATTTTTTGTTCATATAATGTAGTAAAATTATGAAAAACGATACTTCATAAAGAAAATTAGAAAGAAAAAACATA